GTGTGGTGTGGTCGGTTTTCCTGAAACTTAAACTTTTAGTATACAGAGCACTTACTTTGGCTCTGATACCACCTGTAACACCCCGCTTATCAGAGTAAATTTTTCGCAACTTTTATTTCGAAATTACTTATAACTCTTTCGAAATCTTTTTGCGAATAACTCGGGATGCTACTTAAACTCCTCCTTCCTAAAAATCTGTTTAACTTTAACTTTGTCTAATTATTTATTTTAGACATAACAAAACAGATTTATATATATACTTGCATTTAACTATATCATGTTCATATTTATGAAATGATAAAAACTTGAAATCTGAATTTATTTAAAATGCAAGTTCACATATTAATAAGCGTAGCGGAATTACTTAAAAACGTGAATAATTATACAGACTTATTTCATTTATTACAAATGTCCTTTGAAATGAGTACTCGACCATCACCACCACTTTATTTGCTCACACCTCCGGCCCGACCCTGTTACCTGAAAAACATAATGGGGGTGAGTACTGGTCCTTTTGTACCCCGTTAATACCCATACTAAAGTAAACATCAATAATAATACAATATCATGATCTTTGGTATATATATAATAACTGTAACTTAATCTGGCCGATATATTATCGGATACTTGTGCACAATCTGATGGATATTTCTAAGGCACGTATCGCCTCCATCAGAACTTAGGATATAATCTTCGAGACAAATTAATGCCTCCTCATCCCAAGCGTATAAACTTAAACTGTATACATACCTCGAACATGATAACAATATTATACTCAATGTAATACCCAGTCTGGGTCCCCACCTTTCTCCTTTGAAATCGTAAGTGTTGGTCTCGAGTAGCTAACTCTTCAAGCTACATAAAAATACGTAAACAAATATACTAAGTACTATGCTCGTATACTCGGATTTTCAACTCTTTCGGATAAATCATCCAAATCTTATAAAATCTCAATATTCTTGTTATGGTTCAAACTTTTCTTGATCTTTTACTCAATCAAATACTTACTCATATTATTTCTCCCAAATCTTATACATATGGCTTATACTCATTTTTCACTTGATTATCTCGAAAGTGAAAAATAACTCAAATCATACTAAACTTTTCATCATAATATTAATATGTGAGATTTACAACAATCTTTATAAAATTGTATACTCAACATATTAAACTAAAACTTGGTCAAATTGCTCATTACTCATATAAGAATTTTTTTCTAAAAATTCCATTTTAAAACTTAACCATGTACTAAATACTCTTGCATATAAAATCATCTTGACATGTATGCCATATAAATATTTTAACTCGCTCATTTCTCAACATAAAATCATGAAATTTGGCAGTCATGTTCTTAACCCATATATAAGCATGTCGTAAAAATTTCATAATTTTATCATGCGTATATATCGAGTTATTAAAATTTTAAAGTCACAGCTGAAATAAAGAACATAAAATTCAACTTGCATGCTTAACTTCAAAAATTTATAACTCAAGCTATACTATGCCAAATGACATAATTCTTTCACCTATATACTCAGCACTTACACAAGAAATATCCATAATAAGCTTAACATACCAGGTTATGCATATCATGCTCAAATTCAAATCAAAACAATACATATATAACATGTGATTGTGCTGGAAACAACTTATCATTTTTTTTTTCATTTTTAAAATTTCTTTAAAAATTGAATATATATATATGGCATGAAAATACATCAATATTCACTTAATATAAACTATAACATATGATAAAAAGGTAGCATCTAACCTTCTTCAAGAAATTTGAAAATGAAACTTCGGAAGTTGATCTCAACTTATCTTCGTCAAGATTTCTCTCAGTTTATCTCTCTTTCTTACCCTCTTTAGCTAAGACTTTGCTTATTATGATGTGAATTTCGAGTCTATGGTGATACCCCTTTATTTAGGGTAGCAAAGGAGACAATATCACCTTCTTCACATCAATACTTCATCATAATAAACTCATTAGGGCCCTTGCATTAATGTTTTCTAAAATCTTGCACAAATGTGAGTAAGCTTTGATAATTACTTGAAAGGCATGATTTCTCTTGCATATATTAAGACAAAACTCCTCCATTTGACCATACCTTCATTATGGCTCGAATTTAATATGAAATGGCCCATTTATTACTTAAGAATACTAAAAAAAATGGTTATAAAAATAAATAAAGATAAAGAATAAAAATCATAACTTGTAAACTTCTCAATTCTATAGTCAATGCTTAGAAAGGGCCATCTTGTGATCCTAATCTAGTTTCCATGATAAAATTCGTGACTTAATGAAAAATCTCCAATTTACGAAACCGAATTCTGACTTAAAACGAACGGTTACCGAAAAATCGAAAATTCTGAAAATTTCAGATTTCCATCTTTTTCTTTTGGCCTTTTTCCTTTTTATGCTAAAAAAATTTTTTAACTCTTATTAATGATCTTGAAACTTGTAAAAAAGATACAAGAAAATAAATTTTCCGGAAACGAAATCGGATTTAATTATCGTCTACAACCGAACATCGAAAAACTCGATACTTGCGAATATAATTTCGAATATACTCTTAATAGACCTTCTTGTCTAAATAACTTCTATTTAATCCTTATAACTTATCAAATCATATAAGTCACATAAAATACTTAGGCAATTTATAACATTTACTCGACTAACTCAATTTAATGAAAAACGATTCTGATTTAACTTTAATATCGAGCCAACTGAAAAATAAAATTCTAAGAGATTTATTAAGGCTTGGAAATATAAAAGATCATTATTAATAAAATAGTTCTAACTTAGAACTGAAATAATTACTTTTATGAATTACTGAATGGGATATTACAACCAAGGTCTTAAGGATAGGATATTTTTGGCCGACTATGCAATTGATGAAGTGAGGATGGTCAAAGAATGTATTCGATTTTAGAAACATGGCCCTATCTTGTACCAACTAGCTGAGGAGATTATGACAATGAGTTCAACCATACCCTTTGCTCAGTAGGGAATCGATCTGGTTGGGCCACTACCTCAAGGAACAGGTCAAAGAAAGTTTTTGATCCTGGCGGTAGACTATTTACTAAAAGAGTGGAGGCCGAGCCCTTAGCTCAGATCACAGAGGACAAGGTTATACAATTATTTTACAATAACATGTGTTGTAGATTTCGAGTTCCTAAAGTGTTGGTGTCGGACAATGAGACCCAATTTAATGGTCGAAGAATAAGGGCCTGGTGCGAGGATATGAAGATTAACCAACACTTTGTTTCACTAGCCCATCCGCAAGCTAATGGTCAAGTAGAACTCACAATAGGATCATTCTGAATGGCCATAATTCGAAGTTAGAACGTGCTTTAGGTTGTTGGGATGAGGAGCTGACATCTGTTTTATTGGCATACAGAACGAGACCGAGGTCGACAACAAGGGAGACTCTAGTTAGAATTGCTTATTGAATGGAAGCGCTGTTACTAGTTGTGGTTGAGCTGAGTTTACAAAGGTCTTTGACTTATGAAATAGAACAGAATGATGACTTAGCTCGAGCGGCCTTAGATACGGTGGATGAGCTGAAAGAGAAGGTAGCAGTTCCAGTCCCAGCTTACAAAAAAAGAATGTGAATCACTGATGACAAAAAAAGGCCAAGGTCCAAAGGTTCAAGGTCGGAGACCTTGTTTGAAATAGGGTTTATGTTTTGAAGCATATCGGCAAGCTTAAACCTAATTGGGAAGGACCATACACAGTCGAGCGAGTCCATGTAGGAGGAGCTTACTCATTGAAGGATGCACAAGGGAGGTCGTTGCCCAGGTCATGGAATGTGATGAACCTAAAAAAATATTATGCTTCAATTTTTCGTTTTATGTAAATTTTGTGCTTTTCGCCGTTAATGAAGAATGTCATCTCCCCAAGAGTTGTTTCGGCTAAAAGATATTGAACGTGTTTGAGGTATTTGAATTGGCCTCAGTGGCATGTCAAACCAGAAATCTCAACAAAAATCCAACATGATTAAGGCTTTCGAGTCGGATGGTCATTCGTTTGAACAACCTTAGAGGTAGGTTAGGCAAATATTGAAAATTTGAAGAAAAAATTCAGCATGATAAAGTCTTTCGAGTTGGTTGGTCATTCGTTTGAACGACCTAAGAGAAAGGTTGATCTAACGTTGAAGGCCTGAAGATAAAACCCAGCATGACTAAGGCCTTTGAGTTGGCCGATCGTTCTAACAGTCTTAGAGACAGGTCAGGCAAGTGTTAGAGCCTTGATGGAGTAAACCCTGCATGACTAAGGCTTTTGAGTTGGTCGTTCTCTTGTTTGAACGACCTCCTAGGTAGGTCGGGCAAGTGTTGGAGCATTGATGGAAAAAACTCGGGTGACTAAGGCTTTCGAGCTGGCCGGTCGCTTGTTTGAACAACCTCAGAGGAAGGTTCGGCAAGTGTTGGAGCCTTAACGAAATAAAACCCGGCAAGGCTAAGGCATTTGAGCTGGCCAAACGCTTGTTTGAACGACCTCAGAGGAAGGTTGGGCGAGTGTTGGAGCCTTGATGGCAAAAATCAATCTGGTATAATGCTTTCGAGCTGGTCGACTATTCATTTGAATGACCTCCAGATCGAGGGACAATCGTATTTTAACTTACTAAACACAAGTTGAAGTTTTTTTTTAAGAAACCTCGGCGACGGGTCAATTTAAAGGAAGTATGGGTGATGATTGTATTTCAAATTTCAAAATTCACCATATGAAGTTTCACTTTAAAACCTCCGTGGTAGGTCGATTCTATGATGTAATCTTAACGGCAAAAAATTATCTAAGTACAGATTCAATATTGGAGACCTCAGTGGAAGGTCAAAAGAACAAGGAACTCTTAGTGATTGATTATGAAAATTTTTGAGTATGGATTTAATTTCGTAGACCTCGGAGGCAGATCGAGTAAATAAAAGTGTACCAGAGTTTGGTGACCTCGGTGGGAGGTCGATTGATTCACTATCCTTAATGTGAAATGCACAAATTTTTTCTAGCTACTAATGGCGGGGGAGAGGGGGGTTTTCTTGACAGCATCAGAGGTCCCAGTCGCGACCTCTTGCTCATGAACTGTTTTCTTGGTGCTAGGCTCAGTGGCGTTGATCCTAACCTCGAGGTTTCGATTTCTTCTGGGGAACTTGGGAGATAGGCTTAACCACAATGGAAGGAGTTCACAGCGCATGTTTTTTCTCGAGGTGGCAAGGAAAGACTTCGCTCAAGTGTAATATGCCACCACACGTGCTCGACGAGAAGCCCGGGCTTTCCCTCATTAGGGTAGTCAGAGAGCTTATCCTCGGTAGCCTCGTCTAGGGCAAACTTAAAAAATTGACTGGCGGCTGGAACAAATCTCAATAGAAAGCTCGAGGATCTACAGAAGTCTTTAATGACCTGCTCTCGATAGGCCATAAAAAATGTTCCCCCAGCCAAGAAGACAAGAAATATTGTCGACCCTAGATTCGAGTAGACCTCGGCACTCTTCATCTCCTCCTCCCGGTGGCTGACCTACTCAGCGATCTCCTTGTCCTTCTCTATAAGGTCGTCGGCGTGTTTTCAGGCTACCTTCACCAACTCCTGCTTATGATCATAGTTTCTCTTCATCAACTGTTTGTTCTTATCCCGCATAACTCAATTATCTTCTTTAAGGGTTTTATAGGAGGGACCAGAATCGCCTAAGGCCTCATTGAGCATTGGGACAAGGCCCTTCGGGGTGTGAGTATTGTCGCCCTTCTGGGTGTGAGGTGGGATTTGGATTTGTCATGTACATGCCATTATTGTGATATCTGTTATTTTCTTGAACAATTGTGCAGTATGTCTCCCTAATGAACTGTTGATGTTCACCCCTTATTATCATTTCAAATTGATCGAGTTGGTGGCAGGACACAGGATGGTGCGGTGACCACATTTGAACAAATTTGTAATTTATGATTATTGAGACTTTGGTTATGACTTGATTAGACTTATTATTATTCATGGTGTTTTGGTACACTTGATATTGATATTTGAGATGTTTTACTATTATTTTTTACTTTGATTAAAAAAAATTGATTTTTGAGCATGTTGAGTACTGAGAATTGAGAAGATATATTCCAACAGTTATTTGAGCAAGTTATAGTTAAGTTTCAAGATTAAGCAATTTCCGCAAGTTTAGAAGAAAAAGTTTCGTTGTAGTGCCTTATGTGACAAGTTGTCCTTGAAAATCATTATAAGTATGAAAAACTTAGGTTTTCATAGTTAAGTAAGAGGGTGCTACAGCCGCTGTTGTGCTACCACGGTCGCCTTCTGTTCTCTTCAGTCATAGGCCCTTTGTGGTTCCTCGGGTGACTCTGTGTGCAGAGGAGAGGGCTTGGCAAAGGGGCCAGGGCTGAGGCTTTGTGTGTGAGGTGCAGCCCTAGAAACGGGCTAAGGAACCGGGGCCACCGACCTTGACCACCACTGAGCCGTGACTCACCGAGAGTGCCGGAAAGAAGGACGATCTGAGTTGGGAGACTTCGTGTCTTCGTTATACAGCCAGATTCCAGCGAACGAAAGGGAGATCTGTTCTTTCACTTCGATTCATTTTTCAACATCTTTTCTTAGTGTAATTTTACCCCTTTATTTTGCAGTTAATCACCACTGTATCTCGTGTTTCGTTCGTAGTGCAAAACAGACGTTTAAAGGGAGGCAGCATCCGCAGGATGACAAGAAAACTTGCATGCAGACAGACGAGCCCCAAAAGAGAGCTTCCGCTGTTAGTGCATCAAGCGGTGAACTGGGGGATGACCATATAACAATATTAATATAGAAGATACAATAATGCTAAGGAGCCAACTGTTGGTTCCATTATGGAGCCAACAACCAATAAGACAGCTCGATGTGTGGCTGTCCCACATTGGAGTCATGTGGGACAACCCCACATAGAGCTGTCCCATTGGCTGTTGGCTCCGTAATGGAGCCAACAGTTGGTTCCTTAGCATTACTGGCATATTTATATGGAGTGCCAAATCTATTATGTGTTCAGTATAAGTATGTACATGACCTCATTGAAGTGTGCTGTCAAAAACCAATGAATAAAAGTAGTATTCCGTCATAAAAAGTCTCTTATTAGGTATTTAGACAAAAATTGACAGCATTGAAAAATTTCTCAACCATAATAAAACATGTTGAAGTACATAATAAGTTCTTTGGCAAACTTAATTATAATTAGAAAGAAATGGGTGAAGAGAAGATTGAAATGCATATGCAGCAAATGGTCCTTTTGACAAGATGGGACCACTTTTTATGGGGAGTTGGCACTTTCTTCACCAAACCACACACACCCTTTATCTTCAAAACTAATCCATATATACCTTAAACCATGTACATATTGCTTAAGCCAATATTATTGGTCTTATTAATCAACATCTCTAATCATTGTAATTAAATCATGTACGCATTGCTTATGCCGATAAAATTAGTCTTATTAAGCAACGTCTCTGATCATTGTAATTTAAGAAAGAGTTAGAAAAGTTGTGATTTGACCCTTTCAGTGATGATATTGTGGAATAACTTTAGCACACAGAATCAGAAAAGCTGTGTGTAAATGGTAAATAGTTATCACAAAGGCAAAAACAGTGTTAAAAAATGTTTATTATCTCACACGTCTGGCCATGGACCATGTATGGACAACTTCTTAAGTTCATCATGTGGTTCTACTTTATTGATGTATGCCTAAATTTTATAGGTCATAAAATCCATCTAATAATTGCTGTTTTTTCATTCAAATTTATTTTACATATTATTAATTTTAGTCCTATGATTTGTTACGCTTTTATTTTTGCGATTTCATACGCTTTTTTTAGATAAAATTATTTGACGTACTCGGACTGTGTAAGTACTAATATAACACCCCTATCAACTCGGTAGACGAATTGAAACTACTAGCTCAAGTCTACCGGTTCGTGATGGATCCTAGCTCGATGACAAAATTTGACTTATGCCAGGTAGCTCGATATGACAGCTGACAAGTTGCCTTTGGGAATCGAGGCTCGATTAGGAGCTCGTTCTACGTAGGGTTGTCACGACCAGAAGGTCATAGCAAAATTGCTTGAACGACCTAATTTAATGCATGATTATAAGGTCATGAAGTCGATGCAGCAGATCTAGTGACCGGCAGAGTCTTACCAAACAGGAAAACAAAATTCAATTCACACTGTAAATCTATCTCGTTGAGGGTAAGAAGATCTCAGAAACGTGTTTTACTAGGAAACACAGTATTGGCAATATCTTTTTCCTGGTAATAAAGTTGTGTGGATTAGAAGACAACCTCCATATAAAAGGAGGTTACCTGGTTCCTTATATTTTTATCAGGTATTACGTATTCCAATTCATAACAATTCACCGTGAAATTATGACACGGGCGTTGGAGAATTTACCACGGGGTTCCCTCCCAACGTATTTTCCAGGTCAACGAAACTCGAATCGGAAGGTGATTCGTGACGTCACTGATCTACAAGTCGGTACAGAGTAACTTGCGTGTCATGCAGCATATATAGCATTGTACTCTCGAACTAATTGTAAATAAACCATAGTTTATTTTTGTTTTTTTTTGTTTTGGTACAAAGAAAGAGGCCAGTAGCCTAGGCTCTGACTCGACGAGGGTACGACACCCCAAGATTATCATGATCCAACCAACTCCCATTCCCAAGGTGAGGGGGGCCACTGAAACGATGTAGGCGTATTGGGTAGGAAGCTGCCATGCTCGCCATGTGATCCGCCACAAAATTAGCTTCTCTATGAACGTATTGTATTCTAATATCCCATTCCTTTTGGACCATGTTTCGTATGGTCTTAACCAAAGCCTCATGGGGTCCAAAGGCACCTCCAGTTCCACACAACCATCTTTTGTACGCACAGGCTATCGATCTCGGCGATAACATGTCTAAATCAATCTCCCAGGCCAACTGTAACCCCTGGTAAACCATGCTCATTTAAAAGTAACATACATCAGATTAACTATTGAATATTCAGTACTGAACAATCACTTGAATGTTTCTTAAAAAAACACTGGCCAATATTATGTTAATGTAAAATATTCAACGGAAAAAAAAATAAGTAATAATGAATCTTTTATGAAAGCCACCCACCATCGTATTGAACAATTATGATGCATCTCATAAAGATCATGTTAGATTTTAGGCGTACGTACCCAGCGCACGCGCAACGGAATTTTAAAAGATTTCTTACCAACAACGAAGATTCAGCTATAACTATTCGTTATGATCCTAGATCACGTGAATGATTAACGAATACTTACAATTGTACGTCTATGTCCTCAACTATGGTATCCACGCATCCAATTTTCCGGTGCACGATCTAATGCCAATGAATCCCTTCCGCTGAAGAAGCTAGGAATACTCAATTCGGAAAGCTAGAGAGTGTTTGTCTTTTGATGTTGATCTCTCAATCTCTAAGATGTGACCTCTAAATCAATCTCTAAGATGTGATCTCTCCAAGTGTTTCTCAAACATCGATCTTTTGTTTTCACTTACGATCAAAAGACTACAATGAGATAATGACATACTTATAATTAGGTCAAACCTAATAATATGGGCCGTAGGATACCTTATAACCCAATAGGTAATTGGACTTAATTCAATTAATAATATAAGTAAATATAAATTTAATTTAACATATTATATATCTCCTACCAAATAGAAAATAATCTCATTACGCATAAATAAATATTCCAATCTAATTGAATATTTAACACTCTCGATTCACTAGCCAGAAAACCGATTGCATTATGTGTGACCCTATAGGTCTTCATATGTTGACATACATATAATTTATGATCCTTACCAAACTCCTAGACTGCGTCGAAGGACGAACTCAAAATATGAAGTATGTTTACATGGACAAAGCAAACAAACCTTTAGTGTAGAACTCAATGGTGATACGGTCCCTTCATTCACGAACCACTCGATTAAGCTTAAGATTTGAACGTGTGTCTATCTAAATAGCTTAATCATTTTGTCTCATCTTACTGGTTGATATTAATTAATTATATTTGAACACCATTTCAAATATAATCACGTGCATTGGCCAATGACTTTATCAACCCAGTATAGAGAAAACGAGTGTTCTCTCGAAACCATATTTGAGGAATGAATCCTATCTTGACTCAACTACCAATTCCATGTATATCGTGACCAACCCAACACAAGCTCATATCTACTCATAAGGGAGTAAGCGTTGGACTAGGTCTAAGTAAATCACTCTATACATGAATTGCGTATTGACATCAAGTCAAATGACTATTACACCATTCCACACACCGATACTCCAATAGACACATAAAAAAAATGGGTTATCGGTAGGGTATGTCAACAATCTCTAAAGTATCAATGTGTTCATCACGAATAACAATTATTCATAGTAGTGAGACATACTATATTCTTCAAGAATATGGTGCAAACCACATGCGAATCTATCACGTATCATTAATATCCCTTTCTTAATAATCATCGATTGAGGCGATTTGAGAGTTATACTTTATCAATTAAAATCTCACTCTATTAATGACAATATTAACTCCAGGGAGAAACTAATTAATAAATTACAAACAATCAAACAATTATTTAATTAATTGCAATAACATCATTATA